TAGACCTAAAGAGACAATCATTCTAACGATATCCGCCGTTTGAATTTATATAGTGCCTACAAGGATATCTTGGTGAAACTAGCCAAAGTTCGTTCTCATTGATTTTTGGAGGCAAATTATGATCGTCATATTGAATGTTCGATCCAGCTTTAGATACATACTGAAAAATAACTCAAAAAAAAATGTTCTTTAGTTGAGATATTGAATTTTGAAAAACGGGTCATTCGCCAATCCAGAGTAAAATATTGTTTTCGGTTCACAGTTGTAGAATATTCTATGAGTCATTCGATCTATATTTGAGAAAAAGGTCTTAAGTGGAATTACTCTCATCAGATACGAATGTGTCGGTTGATACATATCAAAAATAGCTAAAAATCTCATTCTTCAACTAAAACAACGTGCTCTATAGTGATAGATTATGTCTCTCATAAGAAGCGGACTTCTGAAAGAGTAAAAACAAACCCAGCGTCTTAGTGGCTCTCAGTAGAGTCTAGAATCGAATTTATTAGTGCGTTTCGTCGTTCACTATCACTTAAACTTAACGAACCAAATGTGATTTCTACTAGATTCCAAGAATCGAAAACTTCATCAAGATTCATTAGAATCCAACGAAGTTCATTAGGACTTTGAAATCTACAGATTCAATATCTAGTTTTTTTTCGATTGATTTCTTCCGATTCTATAGTTCTTATAATTCGTTTATTCTCGACTTCAATATTCATTCCATATAAATTCGTTTGAGGCTTAACTAATAAATCTTTTTACTTTTAGACAAAGATGTCATACGTACGGATCGAACACATGAATATTTTCAAGGTGATAACAATATTCATCTTGAAGTTTTACATGATGTATTAATGACCTATAATATGTTTAATTTCGATTTGGGTTAGTAGATATATATGAATTCGATTTGTCTCCAATTTATATTTCTATTGTTTGTTAAGGTTATGTTCAAGGTATGAATGATTTATTAAGTCCAATATTAATTGTTATGGACAATGAAGTTGATGCATTTTGGTGTTTTGTTGGACTTATGGAACGTATGGAACAAAATTTTCACATGGATCAATCACATATAACACGCCAACTTAGTAATCTTCATACACTTCTTCAATTTGTTGATGCTGAACTTGCGAATTATTTAGGTAAGAAAAGCAAAATAAAAAGTACTGTCAGATAAGACATTGTAAATGTATCATTTCGTTAGGTTTTCCTTTCAATAATTTAGAAAGATGGAGTATGATTCAAGGATGGAATATTTCTACTAGGGTCTAGCAGTTTTGGCTAAGAACTATGGAACTGATAAGTTTTACTTTTGTAAACTAATAGTAATAGTGTAGATCGATATAGTTTTTCATCCTGTGCAAACTGACATATTAATTTGGTTTATCGATGAGTTTATATAGAACCTGAAAGATACGATTTTCCTATCATATAGACAAATTTTGATGCTGTTTGTAAGATACTATTGTATTTAAAAATTGCATAATTACTAAAATTCTTTGTAACCAGAAGCAGTGCCGTTTCACATTCTATAGATCTATACAGTTCTAAGAAAAACTATTCTACTCTGAAGCTTATTTTTTATTAAAACATTGTAAAAAGAAGTAATGATTTTAGGAGCAGAGGTGAGAGAAGAGGACCAGAGGTGAATATGACATATCTTTTTGTGCTAATTCTGACTATACTATTCATTTAGCTTTGAAGTTTAAATCGAGTCAAGATTCAATGAGAAATTAATTGACATTGACTTGTGTAGAAGCCATATTCCATGATTTCTGAATTTCTGAAACTCTCGAAATGGTATGAGTTTGAATCTAGCTTCTCTCTACATCTGCAGTCACATTCATATTTGAATATACATATGATGTAAGATCTTATTACAGTTGTTTCAAAATCGTGCGCAAACAAAGTATAATGATATCAATTTCCTTTGAAATTCTAGAATTTATCTATTACCTACATTTCAACAAACTCTTGAGTTTCCAGAGTGAGGTTATACTTTTAAGAATCTCATGAGTTCAGAACTCATCGAATCCGAACATGTTTCCAAAATTTGTCTTTGTGATACGGGAATTGTATCCGTCGGAGCCTGCAGAAACTAATAGATACATATGATCAGTGTGTATTTTTGCAGCACATAAAAAACTATAGTTACCATTTTTCTTCGTAAAGACGAATAGATACCCGTAAGACTATTTAGTGTTAGAAAAAAAACATTTTTGCGTTCAACAAAAATAAACACACACGATATGTGCAGAATTCCATGCTCTATCATCCTTATCTTTTGAAAGTAAAATGTAAGTAGATGGCAGATTTATGATGTCTTATATGGCAGTATCCTTTGTTAATTTAAATAAACCACATGAAAAAAAATTATTTTAGCTGAAAATAATTCAAGTAATATGTATTTTTTCTTCCGGTGGATGTTAATTTGTTTTAAACGTGAATTTTCATTTGATGATGTTATGTATTTATGGGAGGTAAATAAAGAAATAAATCTTTTTTTTTAATTATTAATTAATTCTATTTAAAAATAAAAATTTCAGGTCTTATGGACAGATTATTTAAGTCAACATTTTGAATTACTTGTTTGTTTAGCTATTTTGATTTCACAAAAAAAAGTTATTATGGACTCAAAATTTGGCTGTAATGAAATTCTTAAAGTATGTTGTATTATTTTCCTTTAAATAATTTAAGTATGAATATATTTCATAGCATATCAATGATCTTTCACTAAAAGTTCCATTAGAACCATTATTAAAACATGCCGAAGGTCTTTATATACTATTAAAACAACATGATCAATCAACACCTGGTCTCCCAGCAACTATATCAGCAATCATGTTTCCAAATAAAAATAAAAATTTAAAAAAATTAAATAAAAATAATGATCATGATTCAGATTCGGATGCAACATCAACAATATCATCAGTAAAATCTTCACGCGAACCATCACCAAATTCAAATATTGAACGTAAACCTCGTACAAGACAATTAACTGAATCACATTCAATTGATGAAAATGATAGTGCAGTTGTTAGTCATACCAAAAACAATTAATATTGTATTTTTGCGTATTATTTTTTTGTTTTGTTGTTGTTATATTTGTTTCATCAATTCTCTTTGTGTTTTTTTTTAATTGATGCACATTCTCGTACACATAATTCTGTTCGAGAACAAAGAAACAAAATCACATAATCATAATTATTTTTTTTTTTCTTTAAACGTCTAACGATATATTTATTCTAGATAAATTATAACGAAGAAAAACAAACATGAGTGAAAAAAATTTAGTCAATAAAAAAGTTGATTCAGATGATGATGATGACGATGATGATGATTATTGTCCAACAAAAACTCATGATGAACAAGCAGATGAAAGTGATGAATCAGAACATAATGATGATGATGATAATGATGACGATACTGCCAATGATCAAAATCAACAAATGGATAATAATAAACAAAATGATTTGAATATAACCCCTTATGATGATTCAAAAACAAATGAACTTTGGAAGACTTTTACAAGTAGTACGAAATCCTCATCTACAAAAACGGATAGTCCAAAGACAACAATAGAAATTCCAAAATCAACAATACAAAACTCAAAACCAGTAACAACAAATAAAATACTTGAATTTGCTGGTGAAAAAATTTCAGTACCAGTACCAGTAACAACAACTACAACGACATCGACAGAAAATTCGTCTTTAAAACGACCAGCTTCTTCATCAACAACATCTAATTCCGTACTTGATCGTCTTGGTATTGGTAAAAAGCAAAAATTATCAACATTAGAAAAATCTCGTCTCGATTGGAAAACACATAAAGAATCGGAATCATTAGCAGATGATTTGGAGTCTCATCGACGTGGCAAAGATTCATATGTTGAAAGGAAAGCTTTTCTACAACGTTCAGAACTACGTCAACATGATCATTATTTATCTAATGTAAAAAAGAAATGAGTTTATGTTACATTGTTATTATATAGATAATATTAATAAAAAAGCAAATCTAACAATCTCTTTTGTTTCAATCAAATTATATTACTAATATGTTTTTCTGTATCTATTTGTATAGTTTTTTTTAACCAATCTCGAATCGAATACATATCTTCTAATATTTTACTATCGATTGTCAAATTAATTGGCTAATCATAATCAATTGCAAATTACTTTTTTATCCAAACAAGTATAAGGTACGATAGATTTGGATCATTTTAAAACTCACCAAGCGTCTGATTGAATGGAAAAAACATTATACGGTGATCTGCTCACATTCTTAAAGGTACAAGACGATGCAATAATTGACGACGGCTCACGAGACAAACCTCTTCCGGCTTAAATTTTTTTTCCTATAGATACTACATGGCATCCTAATAGTATCCCTAAAAGGATATGGCTTCCTATTGAGATTTGATCGGACTATTGATTTCTTTATATGTCTATTTTCTATATGCTTCAGGCTTTGCAAAACGTTTTTTTCGAATTCTGATTTGAAACTTTGTGCATATGGAAAACTCAGCTAGACTAGCTTCCATAAAAAAATTGACAAGTTTTGAACACAATCTCTTCTAGATATGGATCTTTCAAAATATAGACCTTTTTCCATTGATAGTATATACAACATGTATTTTTTGAAAGATTCATATCTTGAAGAAATTTTATTCCAAACTTGTTAACTTCTTTTTTATGGAAGCTTGTTTCATTGAGTTCTCTATATACACAAAGTTTTAGGCTAAAGTTCATAAGTACGAGTTTTTGGAAAAGCCTAAGGCCTTTAAAACTAGACATATTACAAAATATGATAGCTAAATCTCAAGAAATCATTGATATTGAAAGGAACCATCTGAAAAGATGCCCTCGTCAGCCGATCAATTTACAATTCTATCTATCAATGAAACGAAATCTTTTTATAGTTATTTTTCTAAAATTATAAAACAAAACATATTGTTTTAGATTTCAGATATCAGTTTTGTTATGCGATAAACAATGAACAGAAGCATTGCTTTTAAAGTAGTTCTATTAGGAGAAGGTAGTGTTGGCAAGGTAAGAGACTTGTAAAAAAGACTTTTTCAAACGATCTATAGAATTCATTCTTTTAGACTTCAATAGTTCTACGTTATACAGAAAATTTATTTAATGATAAACATCTTGAAACACAACAAGTACGTTTATGATTTGAATATTATGAATAATTTTTGTTATGTTTTATTAGGCTTCTTTCAAAACAAAAAAATTAAATTTGGATGGTCGTCGAATTGATTTAGCTATATGGGTTAGTCAAAACTTCATTGAAAAAACCTTTTAAATTATTTTATTTATTAGGATACAGCAGGACAAGAACGATTTCGAGCACTTGGGTATTGATATTTAATCTATCGAAAGTAAATATTTTATTGAATTTTATGTCCTGTTTAGTCCTTTATATTATCGTGAAGCAAATGGTGCTATACTTGTATTTGATATAACAGATGAAGATTCATTTGATCGAGTATGTTTATTTCAATAAAAAAAAGAAACAAACTTCATAAAATCAAACTTGTTTTTATTCAAGGTAAAAAGTTGGGTAAAAGAATTAAAACGAATGCTGGGCGATGATGTAGTTTTATGTATTGTTGGAAATAAAATTGATCTTGAAAAAGATCGTCATGTATCCATGCAAACCGCTGAAGAATATGCTCGATCGGTTAATGCAAAACTTCACCATACATCAGCTAAATTAAATAAAGGAATTGAAGAACTTTTTCAGGATTTAGCTGCTCGTAAGTTTTTTCATGATACTTGAATATGCTTAATAATAATAAATTCTTTTTGTATTCAAAGGTATGCTTGAAAAAGTTCCAGCAAATCCGAATAATTCGAATACACATCGACCAGGTGGAATTCCCATTCAATCATCTACGACAACAGATGGAAATGGTCGACAAAAGACTGGCTCTTGTTGCTAGCGCTTTTTTTTTATTAATTTTGTGTTTATTTATGTGAAAATCAAAGTTTAAAAAAAAATATTATTATTTTTATTTCATGCTCTTACTTTCTATTACTATTATAAATTTATGTTTAATTTCAAACTAGAAGTTTTTCGTATTTCTCTCTACTGATTGATACACAATATACGTCTTAGCAAAAGTCTAAATAGAGCTACAGTTTTTCAGACCTAGCCCTTCTATGAATTTTGTCCGTGTCTATAGTTATTATCGACTTGCATCGATCTTGAATGTATGTTGCTGCCGGTGGTTTCATTTCTGACATATTAGTATTATCATGAAAATTGAATAGAAGCACAAGACTATTTTCATAACAAGGCTTAAACAAGAAACATTAATCTTTAGAAAACAAAACTTGGTTTTTTGTTTAAGAATATTTTGAATGAATTTGATCAACCAGTTATAGGAAACATATCTAGCTCTGCCATATGATGATAGTATAAATATAAATTAGGGAGCAATGAGCATTAGCCAAGGACTCCTGTGAAATAATAAGAGATAATAATGGACTAAAAAGTACAAAAAGTTACTTAGAAAAAACGACTAAGTAAAGTAAATAATTAGATAAACAATAAATAATCTATTATTAGACATGATTCTGTCCAATTAAAATGAAAAAAAAAATCATTTCTTATATTCTATAATATCTACATGATCGGTTCAAAAAACGTAGATTTCCTATGGAAAAAAAACACATGACATACAGGTAGTTTCTCTGATCTGTTTGAGTCTCTGCTTCTAATCATATGAACTAAATAAATAAACTAAATGTGATTTTAATTCGATTCAAAATTCTTGTGATCAAGTTCATTTCAAAATTTGACCAATCGATAATACGATTTCTTAGATCGATGCTCTTTCTATCATAAGATCGATTTAACACGATGTTTATTTTGTGATGGAAAATATCTTCGTACAGCTGTAATTATGTTGGTTGACCATGAGTTGAACAAGCCATAAAAAGAATTGTCATGTTGATTTTTTTTTTTACTTAAAGTTTTACTGTCGTGCGAATACTGGTATTCGCATCTTTCACATTCAAACTCATAACAAAATTGTACAAAAATTTCACCTGACATGCAGTCAGACAGCATTAAAAATGGCAATGAGAAAAAGAAAAGCAGTTAGACATAATATGAAGATGATATAGAAATAATAGTTCGAACATTTCTTTCTTTCTTTCAAAATGAAGTAGATATGAAGAATACTTTTTTAAATAGAAATCGACTTAAGACCGTTAGTGGAACGCAATATAAGTACATGAAAATAAAAAAAGAATGTTTAAGACTTTATTATTAACGAATAAAACATTGTAAAAATTAAATCAAAAAATTTAATTTTCTTTCTGATTTAATTGTATTGATATCTTATGTAAACTTATATTCATTATTGTACATTGTAGACTACTGTCTGATTGAAGAATACAAAGTTTCGATTAAACATGTCATCAATAGTCGTATGAAATGGTTTAGTTTTCATTACAAAACTCAACTTTACAGTACAACTGTTGTAAAAAAGAAAACACAGAAATAAAATGTGTTTCAAAAAACAACCTGTATCTCCAAATTAATTGAACTCAATATTGAATTAGAAAAATATTACCAAAAATGTTTTTATAACCTATAGTGAAATTTATGTAATGAAGTTCATATCAATGAATGCTTGTTTTTAAATAATTAATGTATACAATAAAAATTTATCAACTATTACTCTCCTTCAATCGTTTTTTACAGTTGAGTAGTGCAAAATGAATAATTTCCATCTGTAAGAGTGAGAAATGAAAAGAACAACAAAAGAAAAATGACATCAGATGATTGAATTACAGTCAACAAAACTTTGCCAAGAAATATCAGAACTAAATTTTTTAAATATTTATTACTTTTGTCAAAACTCTTTTGAATATATTCTTCGATATTAGACAACGAATTTCAACTGCATTGAAAGAGATTCATAGCTTGCAAGAATGATTATTTCTTGTAATCCATCATATTACTCAATAATAATAATAATAATAACAGTAAACTTTTTATTCAATAGAAATATTAATCTAATTTTATTGAAATGACTATTTTCTGAGCTTCTATTAAACCTCTTCTAGATAAGATTTTTTATGTACACCAAAATACATCAATTGTTTTTTATTTGAGGATTGAATCAATAACAACAACTTATACAGTAAAAAACTTGCAATTGATGAATACTTTTCTTTCTCTGCAATGTTATTTAAATGTTTAAATAATTTGATAATTATAAGTTACATTGATGTATCATGAAAAATATTTTTGTTTCTAAACTATATTTACTTTTAAATGTTTATAAATAATAGTTCGTGTTGTATTGTTATATTTTTTGCTATTTTGCTATCATCAGTTGTTCTTCTGCCATGTGTGTACCTTGAACGCGTGCCCGAATTTTATCAAAAGCAATTTTTCTTGAAGTCGATCGATCATCATCAAATGGAGAAAAACCACAGTCATCAGTTGTACCTAACTGTTTGACAGGTATGTATTTCACTGCTTCTAACACTCGAGCACACACTTGTTCTGGGGTTTCTACAATCGGATCAATTGGATTAATGACGCCAATAAAAATTCGATGCCACGGCTTCATATATTTACGAATGCATGTTAATACTCGATCACGATTTGGTTCACTTGCTAATTGTAAATAAAAATTGCACACATGAAGTTCGAATAGAGTAGGAAGAACTTCTAAATAGTCAACCTCCAAAGAATGCGTACTATCTTTATCTCCACCTAAAACAAGATATTTATTAAAAAACATAAAAAAAGAAAATTTACTATTTAAGAATATTATAAACCTGGACAAACATGAACACCAAGTCGATGTTGTTCTTGGGGATCAAATCGATCCAATACTCGATTATTGAGTTGAATAAAATCTTGTAATAATTGACCAGTTGGATCAATTTTAAGTGAAAGACGAGCTTCAGTAAAATCAAGCTGAACACAATGAGCTCCACTTTCAAGACATCGTCGAATGTCTTTTTCAGATTCAACAATTAAATCATTCAAGAATTGTTCATGAGAATAACCTTCTATGGCACTTTTCGGATACAGCATTGATAAAGCTGATGGCGTAATTACTGCTTGTCTGTATTCAATAAAATTATAATGAATAAATAAATTGTTTAGATTACTTACTTGATTGGTAATTGAGTAAATTGTTTTGCAGCATCAATATAACTATGAGCATAAACTGCATAACGAAACGGAGCTTTCATTAGACATGGTACTATTCGTTGGTGACCATCTGCAAATTGTATTGAGAAACAATCTGATGTAAATGTATAATATTCATTTAAAATTGCAGAAATTGGATAAGTTAGAAATGATGGTTTTGTTTGTTCACCATCTGTTACTACCGGTGATCCTGTTGCTACCATTTCTTCGATTGTAACTTGTATAGCCCTTTTATACTCATCATTTAAACGATCAAGATTAATTTTTCCATCACGATAGTCACGTTGAGCTACAATTAAATTATCGGATCGAGGTATTGATCCAATAGGTTCAGTGGGAATAATGATCTAGTTAATAACAATTATTTAGAGCTTCCAACATTTTTACAACTTACTTTTTCTATGTTTCCTGTATTAGCCATCAAAATATAATAGAGAAAAAACGGTTTTCCTATAATTTATGTATCAATACTCAATCTAAATTTATGAATGTTTATCTATAAAGAAAAAACACAGAAAACTATTATTACACATATAGCATAAACTCTATTTATACTCTGTCCTAATGCTATAATTTCTGATGATGAAAGAAATTTGCCAAGGAAAAGGCTGTGTCATGGCTGTTTCATATAGAAACAGTAATGTTAAACAGAAGAAAACCAACAGGAATACTTCAAATAATTGATATTATTCATTGTATAAAAATAAACGAAGAGAAAATCTTGCAAAATGAGTGCCTTCAAAATTGCTTGACTAGTTTTTTTTTCGAAAAGCTTTTTTTTTGAAATATACTTGGAAATTGTATTCTGGCATATTCATGGAAAAATACATACATTTTGCTAGAAGAAAATACTTTTCAAATAGAATTAATTTTGATCTATGAATGATAGAGATCATCTGCTATTTTTTTTTATTAACAACAATTTCTTCAAAGGGCAATTGGTATCACAAAAAAAAAAATTTCCTATTTTGGCAAGATAATAGCTAATGAATATGATAACATTCTTTCTGATACCCTGTCAACGCATCGGCTTCAAACACCCTTGTATTTACGGAGAATTATCCAGAAAGTCATGTTACTTGCAATACTTTTTTACAAATTGTTTTGTGTCATTCACAAACATGAAAGTCAATTTCTTTATAATTTTTGCGTATGAATGCAGGAGAATGATCCATCAAAGGAGATATAAGTCTCAAAAATACTCAAGGACATAAGAATTTCTAAAAAAGCCTTTCTATGCTCTAATCGTGGTTATTGTTTGAGTGTTTCCAACCTCATTTAATTTTCTGGACGTTTTTCAAACGCTAATGCTACCTTTTTCAGCGTCTTCACGTACCATGTATGATGAAAGTATCTTGTTTTAGTGTTTCCTAAATTGATACGAAAATATTCAAACGAGGACCGCAATGATGGCATTTACAAACGTGTTTAGAAATTGTTACCATCTTAAATATCCATGAGAACATAATTTTTTGAAGTTCTAAAGTACAACATATAAGATCATGCTCGAATTTTATCCTTGCAACTATTCGCATACAATAATCTCACGTACAATGGTTTGCAAAAAAATTTGGAACAATTAGTCAACACAAAGATTTAATATTTCCTAGCTTTTTTGGAGGGCATCTTTTGCTGTTATCGTAGATTTATATTTAGTAGGTTATCTACTTAACATATTCATTTACTTTATCGATTTGTGTTGTTTCGTTATTAGAGCAGAGTTCGATATGGTAAAGCCAAACAATACGAAAAAATAGCATCTTTTCTATTATATTATTGAAACAAGGGAATTCGTTCAGCCAGAAAAAAACCATCAGACTACAAACACACCTTTGCCTACAATTACCTATCAGTTGAGACAGCTCAGGTACCAAAGTTCTTTAAAGTATTGAGCGAATAAATTATGGACAACCGTAAGATTGATACTACATACAGTCGAGTACGATATCAATTCATTACGTGAAATTACAAAACCACGATCGATGAATCGACTGAAAAGTCACAAAACTAATGTCTCTTAACTGTTTCATAATATGTCAATCATTTTCGGTTCCATTCGAATTCGCGCTGATTGATGACCAGTCTAAAATATGAGAAATACTCGTCGTCACTACTATTTCTCATATTTTAGACTGGCTGCTCAACAATCCGGATATTAATCCCATTGAAAATGTTTGAAATGTGTGAAACATAGAGTCGGGAAAAGAAAATTAAAAAATACAAGTAAACTGAAGACTTTTTACAAACTAAAAATGAACTCATATGAAAAAATAAGTTGTAATTAGTTTGGCAAATCGCATTAAAAAAAGATGCAATTAAGTTTTTGAAGTAAAAGAAGAGAGAACACAATACTGAACGGGATGTTGTTAAACTATGGACTATTGTGTATGGAATAACGAAACATTTTTTCAAGACGATTAATTCAGGCGCTAATATAAGCCAAATGTTTGTTCCAAGTTTTTTTGCAAACCATTGTATCTGTCTAGATATATGACTCACAAGTGCCAATCAAATACTTTGTTTCTTATACTTGCAAGATGAACAGAATTTGATATTATGCTGGCTGTCAATACACAGACGTTCTATATAAGAGAGCTATAATCGAAACAATTTTTGAGATCAACATACAAGTATTTTGCTTTTTGGGTTACTAATTAGGATTTGTGCATTGTTTAAAATGAACTTGGCCTTGAGCGCATGCACTGTATGGGGTTTGAGCACTTCATTCATATTTTCCAGGGTGAATTGTGGAGTGCGGTTATAGTTGTGTGTGTAGTTGAGCGTGTAAATGAAGAGGTGATCCAGACCAACACATCCGCACCATTTTTTCGTAATTCCGAATGACTGAGTTAAGCAAAATAGGCACCATATTTTATTTATCAAAATAACATGTATTTAGACAGGTGAAAAAATTCCACACTTTGTCCTTCAATTCACTTTTGTTTTTAGTAAACACAGAATATAAAGCATGCTCTCTTATCTTTTAACAATCATAAAAAGAACTGCGAACAAAAGCGAAGCTGTTTTCATTTTGAATTTGTCGTCAAAAAAGGGGACAGTAAAGGCAACTCAGTGTTGCAATTGATCTACTAGTCGTTATCGGATGCTTGTTTGAAGACGACGACATGAAAAGCGACGGCATATACAACTATGTCCACAAAAAGAGAAAATGTTAAAGACTTGCAAATCAATTCAGGCTCACCCAAATCAACATTCAAAGTAAAACATTTTCTCTCTTTTTATATAAATAGTTCGATGGGATTTGAGCTGCTTATCAAGAAAAACTGGGTTTTAGTTTTTGTAAATGGCGTTTTCAAATTGAAAAAACCCAAAACTGAAAAGAAGTCATTTTTTCCGAAAAACAAATTATTTTTAACTTTTGGCAATCTTTCTGTAACTAATTTTCTTTGAAGCTTAGTGTTAAAAACTCAGTACAAATACGCTATTCATCGAAATCTATGCATCTTCTCTTCACAGAGCAAAGATACTAGGATTAAAACCTAAAGAGAGAACAAAATAATAATTAAGACGGCCAAAATTTTCAATCATAAATGCCTCATTGCATAAGGCAAAAAAAAATGAAAACGAAGGTTTCTTGGGAGTGTATCTCATGCTTTCTTTGGTTTTCTCTGCTATTTCCACTAGAATGCGTCAATTTACACGTCAGAGAGTCCAACCATTGAGATAAAGTGTGAACAAGATCCGAAATCGGGTGTTGAAAGTTAAAATATATTGTTATTTTGATTTTAATAATTCAAAAAGTGAAACTTAAAGACTGAAAAGCATAGAAAATCAACTGAAACTGTTTTTTGTTGAATTCTAAATGATTTAAAACTAAACTTGTATACTCAATGTCTGTATTAAAATCGACATCTAAACATGTGGACCGTGACCAAATATGGACTCGTCTTTTGATTGACCAAAAAGTATTAGAATAAGCTGTGCTCAATTATGGATGAGACATGTGACGATAGACTATTATAAACGTTTTCGTACATTATCCTTCGAGTACGGACGACAAGAATTTTCACCCTGAGATTTTAGTTTCTCAACAGCTTTTAAAAACACCACCTGTTAATTATTCCATGACATGAATCCATGAATATTTGCGTTTACGATATTTGTGCAGCCAAGACCAGCAGTATTGACTGCTGATTATTGGTAGTGCTGTGACCCTTTGAGTCGATTTTCGTCAAATTTCATTTGTTTCAAAAATTAATAATCTACCCATATCACAAAACCGGATCAGTTTTAGCGGTAAACCGCGGTTTACCGGCAAAAACTGCCGGTTTACCGCGGTTCACCATTAAAAAAATCGGTTAACCAGTAAGGAACCGGTAAAGCAAGAAAAACCGCCGGTCTACCGCGGTTAACCGCCAGTTTTTGCTCGGTTTTCATCACACAGGTACTGAAAGGATTCGATTTAGCTGGGCGCGAGTTTGAGATTGGTGTGGATATCTGTGAAGGTAGATGTGGGTGTGTCATAATACGGATGAAAGCGAGGGTGTTGTGATGTTTGGGTTCAATCCTTTTGCCACCCACACCGTCGTACTCCTTCGCTCGAAAATAAATGTACGTTATCCTAAATTTTCGGAGCAATCAGGGCACGAGTTTATGTTTTACAATGAACCGCTGTTTCAGATATAGATTCTAGTGCATATTTTGACCATACAAATTTATTCTTAAATCAAACATTTTTCATGAAAAAAGCAGTTTCAGCCCATTTCTGCTATTTTTTACTCATAAAATGTCGTTTTTTCTCTTCTGAACATCGACTTGACAAAGATTGTCACATTTCGACATCAAATTTTATATCTATTTCGAATTTTTTCCTCAGTAGTTGCTCTCTTTGATGACTAGTCGAATAGATGATGGCGAAGAGAAGAAAAGAAATGAAGTATATATCAAAGTAAGGTCTATTATGTTCCACATCTTAATCGCCCAGTGAATGTAGTGCAGTGTTCGACTCGTGTCGGGTCAGACCTCGGATCGGGTTGGATCAGGTCAGATATGTATTTTTCAGAAACAAAATTCATGTTACTTTGTTGTTCATTAATTCTGTCATATCACAACAAACAATTAGATACAATAAAGCAGCATGTATTATATCATCTATTGTGTTATATACTAGAATTTTGAAAGACAATGGCCAGTTGTTTTACATCTTTGACCAAACTCGCATTCCAAATTTTAACAGTCCCAGCCATATCAGCTAGCGTTGAACGTAGCTTTAGTGTTGCTAGGTAAGTGGTCTTCGAGCGTCGATCAAATATTTCTCTGAATGTAGTAGATAATATTGTTTTTCTACGTTCAATCAAGAAAAACAAATAAAAGAGAAGAAAAAAAGTAAAAGGAAAAGAAAAGAACATGAAATAAAATAGAATAATTTTAAATAGAATCCTGAACAAGACAAAACGCAAC